GGAGCAATCATTTTCTTTCCATGAAGAAACTTCTCTGTTTCCCACATGATCTTATTGATGAACAGAAAAATAAAATAATGCACATCAGTTACAAAGGCTTTGGTGCTTGATTCTTAAGTTTTACGTCTCCACAAACATGAACCAAAGAGACAAACTATTAGAAGACAAACGCTGGTATGGGTTAACTTTTTATCACCTATTCCACAATAACCATCCATATACCGGGTGTGGTCAATGTGAAATAATTCAGGCCAGTTTCCTCCATAGTAAACTTACTCTGGGACAGGAAAATGAAACCGAGTTACCAAAATAATGTAAATCTATATTTTGTATCACATTACATTTTTGTAATCATACCCCCAAATCATGTAGGCACTCTGAAGAACTATTTTGCTCCTTCAAAAAATCAGTACCAGCATTTTCAGAAACAACCAGTGATTTGAGGTCCTCGTGGTTGAATGGAACTCCCAACCACCACCAAAAAATCATGCCTTCTTCAAGTACTTCAGTTTCAGCAACTGAACTTTTAGAGCCCCTAAGCCACTTATCGCTTCTGAAAATCTTGGCTTATGGCTGTGTCATTTTTCCAGCTCTTCAGCTTTCCTCTGATTTCTAAAGTGAACATTTCCTGTCATTTCAAATTAGCCCATTAGATATATTAGGAACAAACCTAAAACCAAATCTGCCTCAGAAAAGGGAAGACTTGAAAACAACAGACTCAAGTTGTTATTTTTGCTCTACCTGGGAACAAAACACATAGTGACAGCAGAGATTCATTCACGACAGTCAGTCATCGTATCTCAAAGTTTTCCCAGATTTGACCAGCATAAGAAGGGCAGATATGTAGAAAACCAAACACCAGCAGGTTCATCGGATTAAGTCTGAATTTTACCCGCAATGATGAGTTTTTCACAAGCGGTTGCTGCTATAATAATAAAACATTTTTTCTGCTGTAGAGTAGACCTGCAGATGGATAAGAAACCTACTCAGTGTGTGCACATACCCATCCTGCCCAGACTCCCAATAAAACTCTGCAACATGACTGCCTCCGCTCTGATTTTGATCAGGGTGACGCAACTCATATCAGACTAAACGACGACATTGTTGTGAAAACAAGCAGTTTTCACTACTGCTTGGGTAAGGTTTCAAACAGAACAGAGTGGACATGTGTACATGGAGTCAGATAGTACCTCACGCTTTAAACCAGCTTCAGACTAGTTGGTTTAAGCATCTGTAGCTGCCTAGGTGTAACACCACCGAGGTCAGCGTGGGCTACTTTATCCCACTCTGACTGCACTATGGTTCCTCTCACAGAGGAATAACTTCTCGTTATCATTCCACTGACCTGATGAGGCCCTTGAAACATTTGTAATCTAATCTCCCAGATTAACTTCCACTATCAAATGAATTACTAAAAAAATGAGGAGGAAATCTGGGATTTTACTATTACCATTGCTCTAAACGTTTTATTTGTATGGGACATTCTGTACAAGACAAAGTTAAATACACTTTTTGTACAAAGGTGACATATATGACACCTTGCCAAAATAGTATCTCTGATTACATATTCATCTACATACACAATATGCCATGTCTGTTGTTAGCTAAGGGGTCACTTTTCAGCAGAGGGTGTATTTTTTTATGCCACAGAAGAAAAGAGAATGAAATTAAGACAACATGCAGACCAAGTGTCAATGTCACCGGTGTCTTTTAATTCCCAATTATCAAACAGTATCTGTTTTGTTCATTTCAGGAAGTCACATTCATTGGGCATTGAAAACGAAAATGAGAAACAATGAAGAGAAAAACATAATGAAACAAATTGATGCATGTTGCTGGAACAGGATATGATTCTACACAGATCTGTGCAAAGGTTTTTACATTTTGCATTGCCTTGTCTGATTGACTCAAAAAGCCTTGTAATGTCTTAAGGGAAATAACTTCTGGTGCTTTATATCGAATAAAAATATGCAAGTCGTCTTCTTGATGCAGACAGTGATTGAGGTAATGCTCTGGCATTTTTCTGAGAAGAACTAGATCTAAATTAATGTTCTGGTTGCACATTTCTTCCTTATGGAAGGATGCCCTAGCAAACCTCAAGAGCCATCTCTCTTGCCTAGTAAGGACACTGCCACTGAACCCTGGTGAAGGAAGATACTGCTTTTAGGCTCCAGGAGCAAGGATGGTGGAAGTTGCTTAGCAATACTGGGGTTCTCAGTGCTCCAGCTTGGTGGAATTACCCTACACAGGTGGTGGTTTGGTGAAGTGGTCCCAGTGCTTTATTTCTGCCTTTGTGAGTCAGGGCCCAGGTGAATCCGGAGTTAGTTCATCTTAAATAGATGACAGGTGGACAGTGGGCTTTGCAGAACAAATATGCGTGGATATAATGCCAAATAATAGGTAAGAAAGATCTGTCTCACTGAGGTTCTGTTGTCAGAGAAACTAAGTTTCAACAAAAATATTCTCCATAACCAGTGATGAAGGAGCCTCAAAGGTTGTTGCAGCCTGTTTTAGAAAGAGGGTCGGAGTTCAGGGCCCCTCCTCATCTTCATTTACCCTCCAAGACAACCATAAACCACAATCTATTTCCAAGCCCTATTCACTGATCTGTTCTCTTTCTTATACCCTGAAAAATCCTTACATCTTCATGGGTGAAATCCTTTTGAGGCAATCCTCTTGGGCTCCCTTTATACTCATCATCCTACAGTCTGGATCACAGTTCTTCTCATCCTAAAGCAAAAATACATCACACCCCAGTATCTCCCCTCCTCTGAACAGAGTAGAACAGCTCCTCTGAACTCATCTGCACTGTAGACATCCATATTTCAGTCAGATGAAAGCTGGCCTGTCACAAGGCAGCTCCCTCCTTCCCCAGATGAGCACTTATCTTTGCTGCTCTTCTGTCAGGGAGTGGAAGGTTATCTCCTAACTGACATACTTTAAAGCAGTGCTTTAAAGTAAATGGTGTAGGTTTACTAGACTGGAAATTTTTTTCTTAAACCTGGTTCGAAAAATCTTCCACCATTTTTCATCTCTACACTATTTTCTGTCCAAATGCATTCTGCAAAAAATCTTATTTTACATTATAGATGCCCTGTGAGGTAGGTGGGAAAATCAAACTATATTTGCTTCATGAAACAAAGTGTGGACTATAGTTCATAGAAATTTCAAGAGGAACAAAGGCTTTGGATCTGGGATCTTTGACTGTTTGGGATCTCCCACTCACAGAAACACTGAAGCTGACACTGAGGCAAGCTCCTCCTGGGAAGCTGGAGTGCTTGAAGTAAGGATGATGAGTGGATCTTAAAGGCAGTATTGAGTCCACTTATAGCTGACAGTACAAACATATCCCCATATATACAAAGATGAAAGGGTTTGCCAAAGGCCGTGTAACATCCCTGTAGTAGAGTCAGGAATGAGCTCAGATCTGATGCTGCCTATGCTTCAGACGCTGGATGGGAGACCTTAATCTCACAAAGTTTAAAGAAGTTTGCCTAGCTGATCTAAAGCAAACAAATTACATTACACTGAATTAAATAAAATTAAAATAACTGAAACTCTGAGATGCTTTACTGCATACAGATAGTTTCATGTGAATGGGAAGCAAAGTGGGAGACAGATGTTTATTCAAACACTATCTAAACCTTTCTGGTACTCCATTATGGCTTACATTCAGGTTGGTTTCCAAATCTAGCTCAAGTGCTAATTCCCCGAGAGTTGTATTTGCATAGTCAGTTTGGTATCTCCACACTACACACAGTAGGACTTGAATTTTTGTTGGGAATTGATTTTGGAAAGAGCAACTAGTTTATCAGGACTCAGAGGAGTTTGCATACTGACTGGGAAGAAGGTGTTATGATAAATATCAGAAAGTAAAAGTTCTTTATTAAACTCTCGTGAAATATTCACTCTTAAGAGAGAAACACTGTTTATCTGCCTTTTTTCCAAGGCATTTTTTCCAATCTTCAGTTCAGTAACTTGTTCCAATTTTGGTAAAGTGTTGCCAAAATATGTCACTTAAAGAATTCATTTCAGAATATAAACTGCTGTTTCAGTACCTCATGATACATCTACACAGTACGTCATTTCAGTACATGCACCTTACTTAATAATGAAAAACGGTATCTATCACAGATAGGCATGACTTAAATTTCAAACCTAACAGCTCTTCTGTTTTCTTGTAATTACGAAGAAGCAAACCACAGATCTTATCTACCACTCTGGTGCAAATAAACCCTAGTGTATAAGTAGTTACAATGGTATAAATGTAAAGATACTGATACAGGTCTCTCTCATCCAGAAAGAAAAATGAGCTACATCAGTGTGAGGCACTGTTACACACCAATTGCACCCAGCATAAGGAATGTACTAGTATTATTATTCTGGTAACACAAACCCACAATCCTTACTGCAAATTTTATGACACAACAAGAACTTTGTATAGGTCAGGCTTTATCGGAAAAGCCCATATGGTTACCAATCTGTTCAATGCAAAATGAGACTTACTAATATCTGGTAAAGAAGTGAATATATATTTCTTGGATGATATTTTATACTTCACTGGAGTTTTGTAGGTGAAGAACTAGGCAGTACAGAGAAGGCATGTAAAGTGACAGAAATCTGCGTTCAGCATCTTTCATCAGATGTTTTGAAACAATTGCAGGATACAGAGTGGATCCAGAAACAGACCTCAAAGGGACGTTGACAACTTCACCGTTTCATCTGTAACCTTGATTTGGTTGTGGAAACTCAGCTTACTCTCAGAAGCTGTATGTTAAAGGCAGTGACAAGGAATTTACGTAAGTGTTGTTTATATTATAAGCAAAATATCTGAAGCACAAGGTGATTGAGGTGAAACTCTTCCAGCCTGCAAACCATGTCATTCTTCCTCATCATAAAATGCACAACTCTTGTCCTATTTCCTGTATTGGTGGGAATAGGAATGTGCTAATTCAGTCATATCCTTTTTGTCTTTACAAATAAAGTGCAGGTCAGGTCAGTCACAAGATTGGTTCCGTGCCATTCCAGTCAATAACAGCTCCTTGCCACCTAGAAATGAAAGCAATCATTTTACATCCATCAGCTAATCAGGTCACTGGAAAGGTAACCCAACACCCCTCAACCACCCAATGAACCTTAGAGAGTTTAGGATGGACTCATTTGGGGTGACTAATCACATCTCCTCAAAGGTGCCCAAGTTTGGAGGTCAGTCACCTTACCCTTCCTCCAGTCTCTTCTATGCAATAGAGAGTCCTCATCATCAGCTGATTCAGAACAAGTACTTTAGTTTTGCAGAGACTGTAGGGAATCCCCAAGCTGGGTACAAGAATTAATGCTATATAATCAGAATGCTCAGTCTCTCAGTCTTCACAGTGCTTCCGAATGCTTCAGTCTCAGTCTGACAAAGACCTGAACCAAGACTCAATGAAATCAGGATGATGCTCCCCGGTGACTTCACTGGGTTGAAGTGAGTCAACCTACTGTACAGTCAGAGTCATTCATTGCACCCTTGTCCGTGGCATTTCTCACGTTTGCAAGGTCATGGTCCAGACCTTCTGGGAACTAAACTATTGCATTCCCATTGTCAAGTATTTAGATCTGGTTTGCAAATCTGTCTCAGAGTGCATGTGCAGAGTAGTAAGACATTGGTGAGGGGGTGGAGACAAGAGTGAGTTGCCAGAGTGCCACATTCTTTCTGTCACTGAGGAAAGGATGTGTCAGCAGGGGTATGGCAGCTCAGTCCTTTCATGCAGCGAGCCAATTAAGTGTAAAAGAAAACCAAAAGCTGAATTCATGCAGTATTCAGTGCAAAGTCTCAAAGGAAGTAGCCATCTGAGGGCTGTTGTGAAATTTTTCCTTCTTTTTTTATTTTTCTGAGAAAATAAAAATTTTTAAAAAAAATGCAGAAAGACTGTCCTCATCCCAGGGCTCAGCATGAATACACAACAGTGATGCCTGACATTTTAAGCTAAAAGCGGAATAAGTTCTAGCTGGGGATATTCAACCTAGTCTGGCATTAGCCAGTTTGGAGAGCTGTCTCTGCCAGAGATTCAGAATATCACCTTACACCCAGAACAACAAAATGCAAGTGGGAAGTACAATCACCACCTTCTGTCCCCATTGGATTCTTCTGGTAATGTCATCAAATCATCCTTTATCTTTGTGTACAATCTTCCCAAGGCACCACCTTCTATCTCACCAGGGTGATTAAAGATTTGAGAGGGATCCACAGAGACCCCACAGAGGCCAAAAGACACCGAATTAAATCTGCTCTGAGACTACACTGTACTCTGTGAAAATACTAACACGTGCTGATACCATTTTTGCTGTTATGGCTTAAGATGTTGCTAATCGCTATGCAGTGAGGAACTGGCCTTTTTTAAAACAGGCTTTCAATAAAGAGCTTACACAGAAGATAATATTCTGAAGCAGGACTCAAAGTAATGTCCATAACAAGCCTTATTTCCTGTGTTTATTTTCAAACGATCTTTCTTGAGCAGTTTGTAGACTGAAAATCAGTCCTTGGCTGTTTGCTCCTGTGAAGACAGCTTCAAAACTTTTTTCACACATTGAATCTGCACAAAAAGAGGTGCCAAATAGTGAGAAACCTCACTCACAGGTGCTGAACAAGTCTTTTCTTTACAGACAGAAACCAAACTGTCCGGACAATGCACTGTGATCATTTCCCCAAACTGTCCTGCCACAATGTAATTCAAACGGAACCCACATTCTAGCTGCTGATTCAATTATAATTCATCAGATTAGCAATGTGAAAACTGCATTTGACCCATGTGGTTCAACTACAACCTCACCTAAGGGTCATGGAGTTAATGAGAACCCAAGAGGAACTGGTTCAGGACCTGAACAATGCTCAGTCTGGAATAACATTCAGAGTATCTCCTGTACTAATCATTTGGTATTGTTTTAGAGCACATCAATAATTCCGGACGAAATGCCCATGCTCTTCTCTCCTCTTATCCACTACATTTCCACTGGATGTCTCACTTTAAAGCCAAACAGATCAAGTAATGTATCATACAGCCCCACTACCATAGAGGAAAGCTGATGCTAGAGGGTTAACAAAATATACCGCTGAATTCAGATTATAATATCAGATCAAAGTTTTATTCCCCTCAGGCAGAGCTAACAGATGTTATTTCCGCTAGTGCAGAGAGACGCTGAGGATCGTGACTGTGATATAAGAATATTCTTCTGGGAAGAATGGGATAAGACATCTGCACGGCATCTCCCAAACAACCCAGTGATGCACATTCCAGACATCTCTCGGTCAGAATCTCACTGCTTCTACAGATATCTAGGGCTAAAATCCACAATAAAAGTACATGTACTTGCACTGACTGTTGGGAGCCTGTAGGTTAAAGCGATACCTGTTGGTGACTGGTTATTCTAGCCATCTGAAGTGTTACCTGCTTTAAACTCAAATCTTGCTCTTCTGACATTTTATAGAATAGGGAACAAAAACATGAGCCTCCTCCTCCTGCAGAAGCAAAACAACCCTTCTCCTCTGATAATAATAATAATAATGAAAAAAACTAAATACAGAAACAGTCTATTACATATGCAGTTTTCCCTTTGGGAGAGGATAAGAGAACAAACAGCAGACAGATGTTAGGTGCATAACTCAATGCACTACAGGACGATGGCGTTCAGGTATTGGCGTAAACAATGGGTAAGGCTTTTCATGGATTAAACCAGAACTGAGTCATGTGAATGAAAGGAAAAACCCCCATCAACGTATGCAAACAACAGTTAATCTTCTCAGTTCTGATTGTTCAGACTGCGAAATTCTCCCCACTGCCTGAGAAATTATCCTGGATTTTTTGATGAGAAAGATTTGATATGGAGCTTCATCATGAATGCTTAGTCAAAATAAGTAATGTCTGTTTGCTTGCTTGCTTGCTTTACCAAAATTCAGTTTAGGACTGTTTTCCATGGCTGTATGATAGAAAACATTTCTTTTTTATCTACCAATTTGTTAAAATGTTGGTTAGTTTGGTTTGTTTTTACTTTTCCTTATATACTCATTCATAGTTGGAAGAAAAATTTCTTAAAACAAAAAGGAAAAATATAACATGAAAAACCTTTAGCAGCAAGGCCATGCTTAAATAAATATGCTCAAAGCAAATGGAGAATACTGAAAACAAGGAGTCAGACCGATCAGGGTAAATCAGACAGTCCTGAGAATGGTACAAACAAAATAAACTGACACTGGAATTTGCTGGTAATTTACTTCTCCAGTAGATTAAAGCAGGGAATTTAAAATAAACAAACATCACCATTACAAAAACTGTATAAACTTTGATACAATACCAGGAATGGAGGATGTTCTAAGAGCAACTTTAAGTAGTTGCATGCATTATTCACTCCCACTGTGCAGGTTTCTGAGGCTATATGTTATTTATTTTAGTTTCTAGTCATGCTTATGTGTCACTGGAAGAGAGGAATCAATATAATCTGTATGTGCAGGGAGCCTGGACTAATGTCACTGCTGTCATGTTACAGGATGCCCCTTTTCTGTAACTTTCTAATGGCAGCACTGCATGAACACACTATTTGGCAGTCATTCTCCTCTTTTTTTTTTTTTTCGGTATTTTTTTACAGGACAAATTATGGCAAGGAGAGGAGGGAAGTTACAAGAGAAATCTGAAGCTGCTTGGCTTGCTGATTTAACAAATGTTATGGTCTTTGACAATGAGGCTTTTACTTCTTGCTCCAAAGATATTTAGATAGCAGCTTTCAAAGTCCTACTGATGGAGTTGATATAAAGCTGATTTTTCTACCCAGTTAAATTTCTCCATTTTGCTTCTTTCATGTCTCACTGAACTGAAAATGTTCTCATTAACTTCAGTATGAATTGGATAAATTGCTTAAAATTCCATCATTTAATACCACATAAATCTCGAAATGGCCATGAAAATCCTAACATGACAGAAACTAGCCTTGTATATAAGGAGAGAATATGACCTAAGAACTGTCAAGAATGACTTCACAAAATGTGGTGTTTTGTAATCTTGAGAAGCTCTGTGCTGCCCGTAGACACATGGGAAGTTTGAGAAAACTGAGACCTTTGAGCTCAGGCCTTCATGCACTGAGAATGGTACCCAAGTACCCCAGTGTAATTATATTTTTTCAGAAAAGACTGATGAAGATGGAAGAAATTTTCCCCTTCTCTCATTATACCTCTAAAACAGGAATCAGTTACTTTTAGGAATCTAAATTTAGACCTACTGAAATCAAATTGTGCTCTCAAACTGAATTTGGCTCAGTCAGTTCTTGGTGATGAAATGAAGGTTCCTCTAAGAATGAAGTGAACGTCTTAGCCAGTTTGATGTTAACTACAATAACACACAATTAAATGTGTAATACATATTATCACAGCCTGGCCTATTCAGATCCTTTCTGATTTTTAAGCAGTAATTTTGCAAGACAACTTGCTGCAATATTTTTACCATGCTCCAGCCTTACGTATCTTATTTATATCGATAACTGAATATATCTGTATGAAAAACTATAGTTTCACTTACTTTGTCCTAATACAGTGCTCAAGTGGAGGAGTAAGATCATTTTCTTTATCTTCAGTGCACATCTGAGTTGTGTCTGCAGAGACATATCAGACATTATTAGTGGCTGGAGTATATTTCTATTCATATATAATACAGCAGTAGCTTCTAGGAACTCCACCCATGGAAGTGACGGACCACCACTCACCCTGTAATTCTCCTAGCCCACAAAAGACATGTATCTACTTTGGACTGAAATACCCTGGAAGGTGAGCACTGCTGGAATACCATCTCATGCCCTTGTTCACACCATCTGAACAGACCGGCCACAGACAGGGCCAGGAATGTTCAGAGTAGATACCACAACTATGGCTCTTTGCAAATAGCATGGGCTTTATAGCTGACCTTAGAGCGGACAGTCTGGCACTCACTGCTCTGTCATCCCTTGAACCCTTTCAGTTAGTGGTCTACTGCTTGTTCATGTGATGGCAGGCTAAAGGCTGAAACAGGGTAACTGAGTGCGAATGCTGTTGAGAATGATCCCCAGGTTGTGCCCAGTATTAGTTGATCTCGGCCAGAAACTTGCCCAAAATTGTCCTGACTACTGAACAGTAAGGATGATCGTGGGACAGTGTTCAGATTCATGCCCTGATCCAGGTTAGTTTACTAATATAGAGATGGTTTCAAGGAAAAATGTGGATTAGAAGGTAAAGGAATATGCTGGAGGGCTGCCATGAGGGTTTTATTTTGCAACTGATGTCGTAATTACTAAGAAAGACATTTCTGTTACTCAGATACTAAGGACAGCAGTAGTCCTACACTTGAATAGGAAACCCCAAGTCCAGTCCAAACTGGGTTAAAATTCTTTCACCCTGGAAAAGAAGATTGTCCCTTGACTGTTAAGAAAGAAATGTACAGATGGGAGAAGGCGATGTTGTGTTGGCTATAAGGGAGCTACCACAGGCTGTGAGCATTCCTGTGGGACGGAGAGGCAATTGCACTGTTCTGCAGAAAACAGAGAGGTCAGTGTCTCAGACACTGGATCTGTCAACAGTGAAAGTAGTCACTGAACTTCCCAGAGAGAAAACATCCTGAGACCAGCTTGGATGTCAGTCTGCTCAGCTGTTTCCTGTTTTGGAGTTAAATTGCAGCACATTAGGGTTTTTTCTTTTTCTTCTTTTCTGTCCATCATCCAGCCAATGGGAAGGTTGTGAGCAACAAACGATGCCAAGACAGGTTGTAGGATATGGATCTGCTTCAGCGAGACTGATGTAGGCAGGATGGGAGGCAACTGCTCTTACATTCACAGCTGCCAGTCTCAGATATATCTAGCTTCCTCATGTCATAGAGAGAACCTGGCTCTCCCTTGCCTGTTGATCTTGTTGGTATAAAAACATGCACAAAACTCTGAACGACTATAAGGGCTGGAGCAGTAGGAAACACACAATATTTAAAAGTACATAAAATACTGGTAGTTTTCTTCTAGATCCGCAGGAACTTAGAGGTACACAGGAATCTTCTAAGTTTCAAAGGGCCTCTTTTATCCTGATTTGGAAGAGTTTATAATGATTCATTAGAGTTCTGCAGTAGTATTTGGATCCCTCTAGGAATTCCTGATACTGATGTTCTAGATCTCATAGTAAGAAGCAACAACCACTGTCCTCACCATCGTACCGGTAGCAGGATAGGCATATGGCACAGATGCCTTTCACAGTTATTTCCAACTTACTGAATTTCGTCATTTTTAGACTTGAGTTATTCCAACCAGGAGGTTTGAATGGAGGTTTTTCATACAAAGGAATGGGAAAAAAAAAGTCACTAAAGGTGTATCTTACAGGAGCAGGCAAGGAACATTTAGCTAGGTTAATTAACTAACAAACTGTGTTAAATGTTTCACATAACTCATTTGAGCAACACACACTGACGTTACACTCTTCCATCAAGGGCCACAAAAATGATCAGAGAGATGGAACCTCTCTCCTATGAGGAAAGGCTGAGAGAGTTGGGGTTGTTCAGCCTGCAGAAAAGAAGGCTCCACGGAGACTTTACTGTGGACTTTCAATACTTAAAGGGGGCTTATAAGAAAGATGGGGACAAACTTTTCAGTAGGGCCTGTTGTGATACGACAAGGGGTAATGGTTTTAAGCTAAAGGAGGGTAGATTTAGACTAGACATAGGGAAGAATTTTTTTACAATGAGGGTGGTGAAACACTGGAACAGGTTGCCCAGAGAGGTGGTAGATGCCCCATCCCCGGAAACATTCAAGGTCAGGTTGGACAGGGTTTTGAACAATCTCATCTAGTTGAAGCTGTCCCTGCTCATTGCAGGGGGGTTGGGCTAGACGACGTCTAAAGGTCCCTTCCAACCCAAACCATTCTATGATTCTATGATCTCTCATATATTCACTTATATTCTAAGCTAAGGGTAGTGAGAAACTGAGCACCAACACAGTTACAGGCAAACTTGTTATTCAGGAGATACGATGACTACAGGTTCAGAAGAGTGAAATCTGAACAGACAATCAATGAAAGAAGAAATACTGCTCATAATTTAAACGGCAACCTTAGGAAGTGATGTTTTATTAATCACCTTTCCAGAAGACTTCTGCACATTAAAACAATGTCATCTTAACTGTGGGAAAAAAAGTGTTCTGAAGGAAAATGTCATAATCAATATACCAGCTTTCCCTAGAAGCTGTCTCCAGTATCTGAAGCTCTGCTAATTTCACTGCTTGTGCTACCTTCTGTGGCATCTGCAAAGGGGCTGAGGATGGTGTCTATGGCTCTGGAAGAATCTTCTGAGAAATTCAGTTACAGTCATCTTAGCAATAATTCAGCTGCCTTTTGGAAACACCTTTAAAAGGATACTGAGTTGAAGGTATGCACCAACGAGATATAAGAATGATTTACTAAAACAGATTGTACAAAAATTCCCCTGTATCTTCACTTGGAGACAACATGTTGCAAATGTTAACATAGGTAGGTGTTAACTGTATATACTAGAAAGGAGGAGCAGTATCTCTCTGAGCAGTACAACACACTCTTTCATACAAGTACTCTCTGTGACATAAGAAAAATCCCAGAATCTCCACTCAGTCCCTAAACAGCTGAAAAAAGATGAGCAAAATGCAGAGGGTTATCAACTTAGATACACTGGCTTGTTTTCCTTCTCTGCCTATCAGAAATTTCCACCCCAATGGAAAGGATTAACGAACCTTCGTCTATTTAGGATACTATGTTGAACTCACTAGCAGGCATTGCCTGCTTTTAGGAACTTCACATTCCTTGTCTACATTTTGCCAAATGGTTATGAGTAGGAGAAGCAGGGCAAATTCTCAATATAAAGTGGCAATTGCTACTACCTCCAAAATGTAATTCAACTCTTTCTTTCTGGCTTTTTTGCCTTTCTTGCCCAGTGTAATTTCTTCAAGATTTCCTGAAATGTGACCTTCTTTGTAATGTTCCTAATTATAAACAAGATTCCCATTTCAAGGAATTCACCTTCTCATTAGTGAAAAGCAAGTAACTTTGCTAACCAGCACCAGTGAGATGTAGCTGTGTAGCACCCAGGACCTCATGTTGTATCTCTAGGTAACACTGCCTAACCATCATAGCTTGTTGTTGATATTTCCACAATGGAAATACCAGTAATACTTAGCATTCTGGTATTTCCATCTGGTACTGTATTCATGGTTTAGAGGTATGATCAACATTACCTTTTGGATGTAAAGTAATTTCAGTTTTTCTCCAGACCTAACAAAGGATTACTGTACAGCCAGTACTAGGAAAGCATTTCCCTGGAATGATGAAATTATTTCCATTTTACAGCCCTTTGCAGAATTTCACAGATAACAGAAGATTTACTAGGACACATGCCTGGAAGAGGCTATAGCCACAACAAAAAGATATCTACCTCTGAATGCAAGTTTAGTCTTTGAGGAGACGTATACAGATATGTCTTGACAGGTTGAACTGTAAAGAGAAAAATTTATACAAACTCTGAGCACTTTCTCATCCAGGGATCTCAGAGTGCTTGGTAGCTCTGGATTTTGGAAACGTTCCTGATTTATAAATGATGAAAAGCCAGATAAGGACACCTGTTCTGGACCATATGTTACATGGTACAAAACAATAGAAGAAATGTGTCTTGATCTCTCCAGTCCTATGCTGAACTATACAATCTGTGTCACTTACAAAGTGTCTTATCTGGGACAGACCATGTAGGAACCAGTTGGCAACTACAGTCCAGTAAATGTTAAGTGTTTTTTTGAGATAATATATAATGTGATCACTACAATAGAATTACAGGGATTTTAATTAAAATAAGAGGATATATAAGAGGCCGAAAGAAAGTTGAATTCACTACCAAATCTTGTGAGATGCTAAAGCCCCAAGCACTCCCATACAAAGAGCTTTGCCACATGGACTCAATAATAACACAAAACACGCAAGTATAACTCATCCTGTCCAAGAACCAGAATGTTGGTGCAAACAATGAATACAGACAGCTTATTTTTAATGAGTGGACTACAACAGAGTGGCTCCTTAAGATTGGGAAGGAATTTGAGTAGATTGTATAAATATATTGAAGGAAAGAAAACAAAAGATAAGTAGGATATTATTAGCAAATAGGAATTCAGTGGTCAAGAATGTCTTAATATGGCAATAAGTAGGAGCTTTCTAATCATCAGAATACTCCTTGTCCAGATGCCTTCCAGCTGGAGAAATACGTAATTACTATAAAAGCAGCTGCATAATTTGGCATGGCTTCCTGAAAGAATGAGTGTAACAAGTCAGAAGATCTTTTGCATGCTTGTGTTTCCAGGTATGCTTACAAACAGGTAAGAGATTAGAGTTTGTTAGCAGATTGCTGCCATCTTCTGAAGTAGCTGAGTTTGGAGGCAAGGATTTGATGCTTCCTCACCCTCTCTGCTCATTTTACTACAGGCATATAGGGCTGAGGAAAAGGAGACTTGCACTTTCTGCCTGTAGAAATGATGTGAGAAGATGTGAAGGAGATTCGAAGTAGTTAAATATGATTTATAGTCCTGCGAGCATGAATAGGCCAGATCACAACCTGTTCCTTGGAAATTAGTGTCACTGAAAGATTCAACAGTCTGTATAAAGTAGCACATGCTCACTTTTAACCTTTTCAAGAGCTTGTCCTTAAAATTTCCTCGTGAAATCTAATTTCCAATTAATCACCAAAACTAATTATGGAAATCAGGAAACAGGCACACAAATAACCTTTAATGCCTGAGTCCATCATTGGACTGAATACTGGACTGAAACAGTATTGCGGTTTTCTTCTTTCTGATGTGATGCTGTTGCCACCATCAGAGATGAAATGCAGAGTTATTGAGTTGTACATACCAACCGTTAACCGTATTTCTTCTTCCTGGTTGGCCAAGCCATCATAATAATATAGATCAAATCTCCGTTCTGTTTTCCAGTCACCTAGTAAATCCTTTTCCAAACAAAAAAGCACACTGAAGTGGCTTTCACTGCATACCAACCAAATTGGGTATTTAGGGGTCTTCAAGTAACAACCAACCTAAAAGAAAGATACAAAACATGAGAACATCGCAGGGCACAGGGGGAGAAACAATTCATTTTTGAAAACATGAGATGTATAAGATCACTATTTATTTTAGTCTACAAACATTAATGAAGGCTCATTATATACTGCTGATGAAGCAGACCAGGATAGCTCTGGTAAATCATGGAACATATAAAGCAAGAATCTGGCCTTGAGCTATAGGCAGGTAATGAAATCCAGCTGTAGTATCCTTACAGCAAAAAGATCATTTCCCAGATGATCAGAACCAAAAGAAACCCTGTCCTCTGCAATAGCTATAAAACCACAGTGAGCTTAGGTCAGGAATGCTACCCGGGATCAATGGGAGACCATGATACGCAACACTAGCTGGAAGCCAGGCAAAAGACTTCATCAGATCTCAGATGACATGAGACACCCCTGTGTAGGCAACTAAACTGAGCCCAAATCTTATCTTGGATTAAGAATATAAAACATTCCCTTCATTTTAGCATCTTCTTCTAGCTTTACAGTCCAGATATGTAAAATATTTTCAGCTACTAGAAGAAAGCAATAACAGAAGCACTTGTTTTAATTCATTATTCTTAAAAATGAAATACTCTTAGCTGAAAAAAATCAATGATTTCTTTACCAGATGCCTTTTCTAAGCCTTTGTCCTCCCTTTGAAAGTTTGAAAGTATACTTATTTATAAATATCCTAAATGTTCTGTATGAAATTAGATACAACTGATTTTCATATTCATTACTGATTTGAGGTATTATTCTTAAATCTACAAGTTATTTAAAATGTGGGCTACTACAGCACTTCTTTGGATTTGTGAGTAATTGCTTTTATCTCTATATTTATCCATTTATCAGTTTAACCAGTTTTTTCTGCTGCTTCACCCCATAGTCTTTAAGGTTCAAGTCCAGCAAAGGATAAAGGCTACTTTTATGTATATTTAAGTTCATATTTATTATTTCTTATGAATTTATGTTTTAAGGCAGAAATATATATGCTTTAATACCAGGGGGAGTGTATCTAAGGTTTTGAAACTTACTATATGCTGATATAAAATGAATCATGGAAGTGTCCTGCATCCCCTGAGGACACTGAGTATCTGGTAGTATTTTCTTCACCTCACGCTAATGTGTTCTGAGACAGATACCATGCCCTTATTGCATGCTGTTGCTTTAGAGCAACAGTATCAGTTAATTATTTTAGCCCCTTCAGTAGTAAATAATAGAGTAAAAATAGTGACTAGATTGCTTAATGTAGCAAAGAAACTTTATTTCTTCCAGCTGGGATTTTAATATTCAGCTACAACAGATATTTGTTATTAGCTATATTCCTGTCATTGAAAGCTGATTTCTAAGTTCAAAATAATACCCTTTTTTCCCCCACTGAATTGTTGGGTTTTGATTCTTTGAGAAGTTGCTGAGGGAAACTAAAAAGAAAACTTTTTGCTTTCAGTGGAATGTTCTGACTATGGCTCTGTTTATTATTCTTATAGTAGACAGAATCACTACTGTGCAGGATTCTCTGTATAACCATCTTCATTTTATCCCCAGGTTTACGTATCCTTTGCTAAACAAATGTGGCACTGCTGGTATACTACCAATCTGCAAAACAGGGAACGGCAGCCAAGTGTGCAACTATATGTGCATAGAAAAATAAGATCAGTTTCTGTCTCCGTAATACAGACACACGGATCAAAGAAACTTTGCTAGTTCAGAGGTTCAGGAAGTTTTAAAGAGGTTTGCATAGTAATATGGAAAGCGATATCATCTACAGAAATCATCTCTGCCTATTGCTCCCTTTACTGCTATGGGATTTAAATCATGCTTCAGCATATGCAGTGGGTGCGAGTTGAAAGTGGAAGACTTTTAACATAAAAATTCTCATGCATGTTTTCTAGATACAGATTTGCGGACACAGCTTCTAGAGCACAGCCCTCAGTTCTTCACCTTGGGCACACAGGTGCAAATGTCATCCAATATAGTACTAAAAGGCAGAAACCAACATACATGCTATTGTAATTAAAAGTCTAAACAGCATCCTAAGCCATAAGGAGTGTGGGGGTTTTTTATTTTCTTGAGATTTAGAATTTATATCTGAAGTGTTATATAAGTACAAAATCAATTATCTTCCCCATTTCTTCAATGTTAGATAACAAGTCTCTGGCTAATTAAGTAACTGTTCCCTGACTCATTACTTTGCTAATAATACCTATTTAAAACAGCCTTTTATACAACAGTTTTCCTATTTATGTAAACTCTTGGCTTAAAAGCACAGAAATTGTTTTACAAGTTTACAAAAATACTCATAACAGGAGTTATCGAGACGGGAAATAGGCAGATACAACAAAAGATGGCAAATTAGACAGATACAGATGAAAAGATTCAGTCTCACAAACATGCACGTTTTAGCATACAGATAAATCAAAGCCAAAAAAGGAACAGCCAATCTTCTAAAAACGTGTTCTTCCTACATATGTCTGCTAAAGTAACTTCCAAGCTTCATCAAACAACGTTTGCCAAAACAAGATTAGAGAGACACAGAACTGTTTCAAAGCACACATCCACTCTAGTTCTTACTCACATGAACAGTCCTACTGAAGTCAGGACAAATTGTTCAGATGAGTAAGGTCTGTAGGAACATTTTCCAAATATGTATAGTTTCAGTTACAACACTTGCAGAAGGCAGCAAGGGCATGAACTTTGAGACAATAAGGAGAGTATAAAACCACCGCAGGTCAAATTCTGATCTCCCATAAAAAGGGAGAAGTCCTCATTTCAGTTACATTAATTATCCTAGTTGAGGATCACCTGCTGCCTTTAACATCAAATTGCGTCCCAGGTGTTGGCTGATCCCTACAGGTGTGCTTCTCCCCAAAACTACTGGACACTCTATCCCACTACCATCACCTTCCAAGGGCTTCTGGCTCTCCAGATACCTCACATTATTCTTACACTACTAGATTAAACAGGCCCAAGATTTATTTCCCAGCCTTAAAGTCAAGTGGCGTGGAATGTTTTTTATCCATAAGGCTAAAATTTCTTCTTCTCCCCAAATATGTTACTTTGTCTAGACTCCCTACAAGGAACATCCCTCTCTCATAGCATTCCCCAAATCATGTCCAGATTTTTTCCACAAAATATAATATGGAACCATGCTACTGACAAAGTAAGGACAATCCTCATTGTGAGGATTCCTTTGCCCACTTCTTCAAGCATCAGTTTTTGAGCGGACTAGAAGTATGCCCTCATTTAACTGGTCCAGCTGGTGAGTGGTGAGTCCTTCTTCAATTGCCTGGCCAAGTTGGTCAGTGCTAGTGATATTGCAATATAACAGGACCTTGAAGCAGGACAGAGACGAACAAGCATGAACACCCAGCAGAAACTGCCCTGAGGGACAAGGGTGCAGAACAGAGCTGGCAGATCTTTAAGGATGCTTTCCTTCTTTTCCTGATCCCCAGGCATAAGAAATCAGGAAAGGAAGGTAAGAAACTGGCATGGGTCAGTTGAGACCTGCTGGTCAAACTAAAGAGCAAGAAGGAAATGAACAGGCAGTGGAAGCAGGGACAGGTGTCCCTATACTGATAGGTACACTGCCCGGTAGTGTAAGGATGGGCTCAGGAAGGCCAAGGCGCGGATGAAGCTCAGCTTGGCAGGGAATGCAAAGAATAATAAGAAGGGCTTCTACAGGTATGTCAGCCAGAAAAGGAAGGTCAAAGAAAGCATGCCCCCCCTGATGAGCAAGACTGGCAAACTGGTAACAACGGACAAGGAGAAGGCTGAGGTACTCAACAACTTCTTTGCCTCAGTCTTCACTGGCAACCTCTCTTCCCACACCTCTCCAGTGGATGGACCGCAAGATGGACTGGGGGAGCAAAGTCTCTCCCGCTGTAAGAGAAGATCACATTTGTAACCACCTAAGGAACCTGAACATACATGTCTACGGCACCCAACAAGATGCATCTCAGAGTTCTGAGGGAATTGGCTGATGTAGTTGTCAAGCTACTCTCCACGATATTTGAAAAGTCATCGCAGTCAGGTGAAGTCCCTGGTGACTGGAAAAAGGGAAACATTGCATCCATTTTTAAAAAGGGTAGAAAGAAGGACCCTGGGAACTACTGACCTATCAGCTTCACTCTGTGCCTGGCAAGATCATGGAACAGATCCTCCTAGAAGCTATGCTAAGGCACATGGAGGACAGGGAGGTGATTTGAGACAGCCAGCACAGCTTCAGCAAGGGAAAGTCCTGCCTGACCAACCTAGTGGCTCTCTGTGATGGAAAGACTAAATCAGTGGACAAGCAAAGAGCTACGGACATCGTCTATCTGGACTTCTGTTAAGGACTTTGACAAGATTCCCCACAACATCCTTCTTTCTAAATTTCTAAATTTTCTAAATGGACTGTTCAGTGGACAAGGAATTGGTTGGATGGTCACATCCAGAAGGTAGTGGTCAATGGCTCAATGTCCAGATGGAGATCAGTGACAGGTGGTGTCTCTCAGGGGTCCATACTGGGACCAGCCTTTCCCTCAATACACATGAAGGAGTTTATAATTCATTTCAATACATTACTTCACTGCAATGACAAAGATAGGTCAAGATTCAGTCCACTTCACTCTTCAGCATCTATTTCTAGGCCCTGTAACTTAAGCTGGCCCCTAGTTCAGGTTGGCTTTGGCTGTCTGTAAAATCAAAGCAGTAAGAGATGGGTATTGTCAGAAATTTGGACCCCCTTGTTTATCAGCTATAAAGGGAGTTGGCTGGTCTCTTACCTGAAGCACTTTCAGCCTATAAAGGACCTTAAGTTACATGGGATAAATCCAGATACAAATGCAGGTATTTTTAATCTAGAAAGACATGTGGAAAATATTTAACTTATTTTGTCTGTTTTCAAAGCATGCAGAACTCTTTTAAACATGTGGGGTTTGTCTTAAATAAAAACTCTGATTCTATTTTATTTGGAAGGACCTTAACAAGAAATCAATGCCAATACCCCAGCA